ATGTAAACTTTTTAAAATTTTGCTCTTTTTCTCCTTACATCCCTTTAAGTAAGCATTTAAAAAGCATCTGAAATATTGTATTTTGATTTCTAGGCAATGCTTATAATCAAGAGGAGCGTGTTGTTTGTGCTGGCTATGACAATGGTGATATTAAACTGTTTGATCTCAGAAATATGTCATTGCGATGGGAGACAAACATAAAAAATGGGGTAATGTACATTCTGACATTTTAAAATATTTTTAGCATGTTTTCATCCTTTTCTGATCAGCTAGAAAAGAAAAGTACCTCTTCCACCATCTCAATAGAAATCCCTCTTAACCTTTTGGTAGAGAATCTAATGAAAATCTTAGTTCCTGTGTTCTAAAAGTGCACTCATATCCAGATGTGCTATGTACGGTGTCTGGTGATTCCTTACCCCCTCTGGCTATCTGCAGAGGCCTTGCACCATTTAGTGTGAAAATGTCAGAGATAGCCAGTTAGAGGCCTTTTCCCTGTTAATTTTGGAATTACTGAAATAGTAAGAGCATCCTTAAACACCTTCAGACTTTTCATCCCTCAGTGGCACACCTTCAGTGAAGAATGTAATTTTGTCCTGTTTAAAGTCATCCTTGACTTTGACTCTCATGGTATAGTGATTAAGCCCTTGGTTGCTAACTAAAAGGTCAGTAATTTGAACCTACCAGCCACTCTCGGGAAGAACAATATGTTACTTCACTTATGTACAGATTGTCGTCTTGGAAACCCAAAGGGGCACTACTGCTGCATTCCAAGGATAGAGTTGATTTTGACTTGTCAGGAACAGAGATGACTTAAATGTATTAAATGTAAAATTAAAAAAAAAAAATCTCACCCTGATCCTGCTTCTATCAAAAAAATCAACCTCATTGCAATTGAGTCAGAACTGGCTCATAAATGACCCTCAAGTGGGTTTTTGGAAGCTGTAAATCACCCAGGAGAAGACTATATATCTTTCTCCCACAGAGTAGCTGGTAGATTTGAACCACTCACCTTTGGTTTGGCTGTGTAGCTCCCTATCCACTCGGACACCTAGTGGGTAGGCATCTAAAGATCCCTATAGGTGTTAAAATTTACCATACATCATAAAATGGAAAGGAATTATATCACATTAAATAATGGGGGACTGTCAAACAATATTGCCTGGCCATGTTGACACATACCTTGGGAGGGCTTAAGTCAGTCAGTGGTGTGTGTATAGGTGGGTGTGGGGGGAGGCTTTGTACACTGCTTCACATTGTAAAGAGCAAATCCACAAGGCGTTGGGCCTAGTTTTCATTGGGTCTAGTCTGAGATGTGTGCCTACCCTTGTACATATGAGAACTCAGTATTCTAAATACACTTTTCTCTCTCTATTAACGGTCACTCATTCATTGCCATCAAGTTGTAATCCTCTCATGGCTGACCTTCCATTGGATTTTCTGAAATGCATGAGAGGAGGTTGCTAGTAGACACAGATCTTTGGGTTAGCTGCACAATTTTGCACAGAGCTTCCCTACAGTTGCCAGGACCAAAGATCCATGTGGAATAGAGCACAGAAGGATCAACTACTATTGCTACACCATGAAAGTGTGACCTGATGTGGTCAGGTCCCATTAATGATAGATAATGAGTATAAGACTTCCTTTTAGGATGATAGGAGTATTGGCTTCACAAGTTATTCAATTGTTTACTCCGAAATGGCTAATTTTATGTTGAAACATTTTTCAATTATAATATTAAATTGTAATTATAAATGCATGGCATTCATGATAAGATTCTTTTTGTTGATTTTTTTATCCGTAAAAGTGCTTAATAAATTGATTTCAACTATAAAATTATTATTTATTTTTATAAACGCTGAAGAGTTCAAAGTTAAAAAACCTTCCTACATAATAAGCATGAGAATATGACATCATAAGATGATTTTTGTTGATTTTTTACCAAGAAAAAATAATTTATCCATAAAAGTGCTTAATAAATTGATTTCAACTATAAAATGATTGTTTTTATAAGTGCTAAAGAGTTCAAAGTTGTTTTCCTTAATTATAAGACCTTCCTATGTAATAAGCATGAGATTGTTGATTAATATTCTCTCTTCAGGTCTGTAGTGTGGAGTTTGACAGAAAAGACATAAGTATGAATAAGTTAGTAGCTACATCGCTGGAAGGAAAATTCCATGTTTTTGACATGAGAACACAGCATCCATCCAAAGGCTTCGCTTCTGTTTCAGAGAAGGTAAATATGAAGGAAATGTCTTTGTACGGATAAAAGATGTTGACTTGATTAAACAGAATTAGTCACAGTGATTTCTTCCTGGTCTATGTGAAGGGAGCCTTTTCTTTTTTTCTTTTTTACATAGTCTTGTGGGATCTTGATAAGTTTTTTGTGTAGAAATCACTTTCCCAAAGTTTATCCATTCTAGACTTCTTGAATATAAATATATATATAAATGTATAAAATATTGTATATATAAATATATATAAGTATATATCTATAAAAAGAGACCTCAGTTGGTTAAGAATCTTGTAGCTTTTCACGAGAAAACTGGCCAGTGTTAGGAATTTGATCAGCTAAACCTCACTCATTGCCACTGAGTCGGAATGGGCTCATAGGTGACCTTCCATCAGGTTTTTAGAGGCTGAAGGTCTCACGGGAGGACATTTCCATCTTTTTCAGAGCAGCTTGTGGATTAAACTACCTGCCTTTGGATTGGCAGCACAGCTTCCAATAAGACATTTGGCTTCTTCTGAACACTGGCCCACCAGAGCTTTTATGTGTGTGTGTGGGGGGGGGGGCGATATATAAGTGTATATCATTTCATCATATTTCACTTAGTATTGCAGATTGCTAGAGTGAATGAAATAATTTGTTTAAACGGTTAATTTCTGAGGCTGATAGTTCCTCAAGAAATTTAGTTATACATATTCTAATTAGTATTTAAAGTAGCTTAGAGGGAAACATGAAATTATAGGATAGGAAAAAGAGATGAAGAAAGTAGAAGCATGGAAAAGGAAAAATACTGGTTAGAAGTTTCAGATGCTGTCTAGAGTAGGGAAATTACATAAAATCCATGCTGAAATGACCTGTCATGTCAAAGAACAATTTTAAGCTTTGAACTGCTTTGTATGTGTAAAAATTGCTCAGGAATCTAATTTTCTGCCTCTTTTTCTACTGTGATACCTAGACCTTCTCATTTTGTAGTATTACATTATTTTAATGTTCCTTATAATTTTTAGTTACTGTTTCTACCTGCTGAACTCAGTTTCTAACAAAGTAGCTATAAATTGGAATATCTGTCCTTTTTGCATTCTGTCATTTCAGAACATACTAATTTATCTGTATGTAACATACATATGACCCTTTACTAAATTGTTCATATTAAATTTACCTTAGAGTCCTTCTTATAAGCAATAGTACCATCTCCAAAATATCCTTTCATTGTATTAACCCAGTATTTGCAAATCCTGTCAAATAAAAGACTTGTATTTTAAGAGGGTCATTTACCCTCTGTTTGAATTGTTTGATTTTTTGTATTTTTTCAAAGACATCAATTCTTCTTTATTATAATTTATATAAAACTGTTGCATATACATTTAGATATAATAATTTTAAAAGAAACAATTCTTTCACCTTCTGTAATGTTATCCTCTGTACAGTAATTTCAACTACAAAGATACTGCTGACTGAGGTTTCTGTACAAACTAGTGAAATTATATTTACCACATTGTATTTTGATTTTTTAATACATTATCAAATGCCTTCTATACAGCTAATACAGTACTTGATATTCTCTTACCTCGCCTTATTGATCTTTTGGAAAAAAGATATCTTGTTTTCATAAAGTTGTGTTTATCCTTACACCAAATCAAACTGATATTTCCCTCTTTGTTTTTGTGGTTTTTGTCAACTTTACTTATTTCCAGCAAAAACAAATCCAAGTTACTATAAACAATAAAATAAATTTGTCAGCTTGAACCTAGTCTGTTGTAGGCTGTCACACACTTACAACATGTATGCGTGTTCAGCTGACAATAGTTACTCTCTAAAAAGAGCATTAACGAACGTCAAGCCTCGTCATCACAATTCCAAGAGGATGCCTGAGGCTTAGCTCAGGCTCCTGCTCTCACAGCCTCTCACTTCAAAGCTGAAGGCATTCATCTCTCCCCTTCTTTAGCTCCCGCTGTCTCTCTCTCACCCCCCTGGGTTCTCCCACAGTGAAGATCACACTGCAAGGATTAATTTCCTGACTTGCCATTGAGGCATTAACAAGCTGTTAACTTTCTTCAGTTGCCATTTTTTTATCCTTTTTGGTAATAAGACTTAGGGAAGGGCTTTGGCTTATTATGATCATAAACACACTATATGTATCCTCTCATTCCCCAATTTTCAGTCTATACAAGTCAGATGGCAGTAATGGAGGAGGAAGTTCTGCAAGCTGGAAGGGAATTTTCCATCAGTGATTTTACTTACAAAGAACTATATATTTTGGGGTTTTGAGTATTTTCATTTTGAATGAGAAAAATATATAGGTATAAAATCTATTTTCATAATTATATAGTAAATTAGTGTAAACTTAAACTTTTAAATGTGATATCTTTCTAAGATATTCCCTAGAGCTAGATTTCTTTTTTTTAGAGCTAGATTTCTTAAACCAGTAAAGAAAAAGGATGCTTTATCTGAATTCTGCTTTGTTTGCTGTGAATCTCTGTAGGCATCATAGATAACATGCCAAAAAATAATAGATAACATGCCAAAAAATAACCTTAACTGCTGGTATAACAGTTAATGAAATTCAAGTAATTTTTTTTTTCAAGATTTCTTTTCTAGGGCAGTCTTTATTTGTCATAGGAACGTATAACCCAGCTGTGTGTTTCTGGCCCTGTTTAGGCTCATAAATCCACTATCTGGCAGGTCCGACATCTGCCACAGAACAGAGAGCTCTTTTTGACTGCTGGGGGCGCCGGCGGCCTTCACCTCTGGAAGTAGTAAGTCTCTCCCGGTGCATTTTGCTCCCTTTCCAGTCATTTGTGGGCGTACAATAGGATTAGGTTGAACTTTCTGTCTTCTTTTCCTCCTTTGATATTTTAAATTTCATGATATTATGTAACTGTAGTTTTGTAAGCATTTTCTCCCCACTAACGTACTTAACAAGCATTGCATTCTTGTGGTACACTATATTTGTCATCTTAATATTTGAGTGTAGCTCAACCCGGTGGCACAATGTGTAAGCCCTTGCCTGCTAACCCAGAGGTCAACAGTTTGAACCCACCAGCCACATTATGGGGGAAAGCCCTGGCAATTCACTCTTAAGAAGATTTTATTAGGTGCATCAGTACTCCTCCCACAACACAATTGAGTTCTTACAAACTAGGCAACTCTGGAGGAATTTTACTTTTTCATAGAAAGTTGCTGGGAGTCAGAGTTTTTATTTATCTATATATATATGTATATATATAAATCTTTTTGTAATATCATTTTTATTTACTTTTTCCCCCATTATTTTTTTATTATACTACTTTACAAAATTCAGATACATTCTTTTCCAGAACAGATTCTTCCAATTTTCCTCACCACCCCCCCATTGAATTGTACAACTCCTTGATTAATCCTCCCTTCCCCCTACCCATCCTCATCCCTCTGCTTCCACCTCCCACCCCCACCCCCTTTGGATCCTTATACTCATTTTACAATAATGGTTTTGTACAATATTTGTCTTTGTGGGACTGAGTTAGGGGAGTCAGATTTTGACTACACTAAAACAACAAAAAATCTTCTTAGCATAGACTTGACACCATAATATACTTATCTAAATATATTAAAATTATGGCCAAAAAATTTCTCAGATTCCTTTTTACACTATAGGGGAAAGGTTAAATTGTAAGGTTTTGCATCCTGATAACTCACTCGCTCATGTTCAGAACAGCCCAATACTGATTGGTCTCCAGGAACAGCCTTACTTTGGAGCTTGCTGTTTGTGCTGTCAACTCATTTTAGGAGGCGTTTTAATCACTTGGGAAAAGATTGCCTATATTTTTTCTGTGAAGCAGCTGATGGATTTAATACCGTTTACCACTCTAAAAAAATAGCTTCATATGGACTCAGAACTTCATTGTCTAATAATCACTTTACATAAAATTTTGTTGTGTGTTGTGCCATTGAATCAGAACTAACCTGTAGCTTGTCTTTAGTGGGTTTCAGAAGTAGTAAATCATACAGGAGGAAGATGTGCATTTTCTATCCATGAAGCAGCTTGTAGATTCAAACCTTGTGCCTTTGGCAGCACACCGCCTTCCCACTAATCCACCAGACCTCTCTACATAAAATTGTATTTAGCTTTATTTTTATTAGACAGTCTCCGTTGGTTGTGATGCACTTGAGTTATAAATATTTATTGAGCACTCAACTAGGAGTTGCTGTAGGAAATGATTAATCAGAATTTTTTTCTCTCAGTAAAAACCCCAAATACTTAGGGCTCTGTGTGTATGTGTGTGTATATCTGTATATAAATCAAATTTTCTCTTAAAACTGCAATATATAATACTGAAGATTTAATAAAAATCTAAATACTCAGTAATCTTTGCTGATTGTTGTATGAATCAGGCTCTATTTAAACTGCCCATTTATCTGAACATGTTAACTCCTTTTAATCAAAATAAGGTCTAGGGGCTGAGAGGAAAGGAAAACATATCAACCTGTCACTTTGACTTGCTGCTCTGTGTCTGATACATCTGTGACTCTTAAACCTTTGACCTTTATTACTATTTATGAAGTATAAGAAGAGTAATAGTTGATGTGGAATAGACTCTTAAAAGCCCTTCCTTCCAAGAAGTACCTTTATTCACTGGTAACACAGTCTTCCTGGGGAGGAGAGAAAGTAGGAATGGTGTTTCTCTCTCTCTCTCACTCTCTCTTTATGAGTTAACTTTCGACTCTTCTTATTTTATACATTTCCCCTTTTTGACTTAAAGGGGAAATTGTTTCTCCTACACAAGGTTGTTGTTGTTGTTGTTGTTTTGTGTCATTGAGTCAAAACTGATGCATAGCTGATCCTTTGGAGGGTTTTCAGAGGCAGTAAATCACAGGAAAGGAGATTGTTCATCCATCTCCCTCGGAGAAACTGGTGGCCTTGAACTGTGTGCCTTCAGGATTGCAGTGCAGCTTCTTCACACTGTGCCACCAGATTTAGGTCTAAAACCCTAGTCCACAGAAGGTGCAGGTTTGCATCTGTGTGATGAAGCTGTGGGGCTAGAATCTGGTGAAACCTCCGTGTGAGAGCTATTTAGATGAAGAGTGAAATGTTAAAGCTCTTGCCTGCATATCTAGTGCCCAACTCAAACTCATTGCCACTGAGTTGAAACCAGCTCGGAGCTGAGCCTCCAGCGAGTTTTTGGATGCTGTGAACTGCACGGGAAAAGATTGCCCATCTTTCTCCCTCGGAGCAGCTGGTGGATTCCAGCCGCCTGGTTTTGAGTTGACTGTGCAGCCCCTTCCCCACTAGGCTACCAGAGCTCCCTGTCTCATACCCAAGTCAATAAAATGATAGCAGAAAATTATGAGGAGTGCCAAGTAAATCAACTGAAGAGTGCTGAATCGACCTCAAACTCTCACAGTTAAAGTGAAAACACAGGCATATCCTGAAAAGATGTTCAATATTTTGTCGTAGCCTTTTTTTATGAGAGATTTAGGTGAGAGGGTTGAGATTCCAACAGTGATTATATTCCAGTATATGTTCCAGTATAGTCTGTTGAGAAAAGTAGTCATTGAAAATATGTATATGGGATAAAATGGTGTGTTACCTTCTTGCCACTTTGGTGCTGTTTTTCAGTGAGTATCCTGTTCAGCGGTCAAAGAAAGACTCAGAGGGTGTGGAGATGGGAGTTGCGGGCTCAGTGAGCCTCCTGCAGAATGTGACCTTGTCCACTCAGCCCATTTCAAGTTTGGACTGGAGTCCAGACAAAAGGGGGCTCTGCGTCTGTAGTTCATTTGACCAAATGGTGAGAGTACTGATTGTTACAAAACTCCACAAGATGTAATCAAGACTTTGAACTTTCCAGAGGAACCCACCCATACAGGGTTTCAGATAGGCTGTGGGAACCTCTGTGTATGAACAGTGTTGGACTTTGACCAATGGAAAAGGCCCCAGAGGCAAACCAGATGTGCTTTTTTCCCTGGGTGGGAAAAGCCTCAGGTTCTGACTTGCTGCTGTGCGTGGGGCCCAGCTCTCCAGACACAGCTCCCTCTTCTCCCTCCTATTTCCAGTGAAAAAACAATTGTTATTTCTACTTATATATATTTTTATCTTGTTCTGAATTCCCACAAAGTTTCATAGTTTATCTTTACACTTGTTTTGTACCTTGGTCTTTAAAATGTGATAAAAAGCATTCAGTTTTGTTTAAAATCGTTTGTGTGCTCAAGTGACTTCTCATTTACCTTCATAAATTCAGTTTGAGAGATTTCAATGTCATAAAGTTCTAGGACAGAATATTAGAAAATTCTGAAATAGCACTGTCAAACTAGATTTGGGTAACTGTTTTCAGCAGAATGACTCATAAAAGAAAATGTGATGTTTTTTAGCGACCTCATTTTTCCTTAAAATAAAGGAACTGAGTTGAGCCTTTTGGTTGGTGACTATGGTAAGTGATACTGCTGAGATGTACAAGATTTGAGAGTTTTAAGCCTTGGTTTTTGTCAAGCCTTTTTATATATATTTTATCAATAAATTATTTAAAAATCTGTAACACCTTTGATTTTGTTAGTAGACATAATCTCCAATTTTGTCACTTTTCTTTTGAATTACTTAATGAATACCCATTAATTCACTGTTTCCTTAATGTTCACGGTATCTTTGCCTAGGCCTTCAGATGAATGCACTTTCATTAAGTGCACTTCCCTACCCACATTTAAGAGACAAAATCAGTTCCCATGCAATTGACTGCACCTCATGGCAGCCCCCACGTCAGCGAAGTCCTCTGCTCTTCAGGGTCCCAGGTAAATTGCCAGGTCCGTCTTCTGAGGTGCCTCTGGGTGGACTTGAGCCCTGCCACCTATAGTATTCATGTTGTGGCGTGTTATCAAGTCAGCCCACCCACAGCTGACCCTCCAGTAAGTTCTCAAAGGCAGTAAACTGTGTGGGAGGAGACTGCCCATCCTTCTCCTGTGAAGCAGCTGGTGGATTTGAACCACGTCTTTGGAAATGTAGTGCATTTTTGTAGCACTAGGCCACTAGAGTGCCTACATTATTTGTTGCTGTTGTTGTTATGTGCCATCGAGTCGCTTGCTACTCATAGCGACCCTATGTACAACAGCCTTAAACTCTGTTCTGTTGTGTGCCAATCATACTGTCTCTGACACACCCACTCAGATGACCCCAGTCACTGAACCAGTCTACCTCATTGAGGGTCTTCCTCTCCTGCACTGTCCCTCTACCCCCATAAGCATTTATAATATGTAAAATACATGTGATTTCAAGGATTCATAGGAATTTACTTGCTTGGATTATTAAGTTCTAGAAAAAGAACTTTTCATTCCCAAAATCTTTTCTAGAACAATACTTTGAACAGTGTTACATGAGTGAAAAATGAAACTGAATTTAAAGTCTGTCCCTTCTGCGTGTGGGTTTTGTTTTGTTGTTTCCAGTTTGCAAAGAAAAATGAAAGCTTAGCCCAGTAAGAAAATTCGGAAAGGAGGACTACCACATATCTCCTGCTAAAATGTTGAATTGTTCTGCGTTTTTTAAGTTATCCTTTATTTCCAGTAATAAGCATTATTTCCCTTCAGTGGAGTCCAAAATCATATTAAGTAGAACGTATTTCTGTAATCTCAATAAACAGATGGCTTGTTCGTTGTTAGCTTCCTAGATATTTTTGTTTGTGATTTAGGTGGCTAAATTTTACACAGACACACACACAAAAAAAAATTGTTTTCTAGTTTGTCTGTGGACTATCCCAATAGACACAAAAACGATTTAATCCTTTTTGTGCATGAAAACATACAATAAAGGTTTCTGGCAAATGTAAAATTCCAAATTTTGTCCAACGCATTGATGTGTCTGCCTCTTAACTTTTAATATATTTCCTCTCCTCTGGAAGAAAGTACCTACCCCTCGAGCTGCACATTCAGGAGCCCCCACTCGTTTATTGTTTGAGTTTGTTTCTCTATTTTTGAAAGAAGGTTCTCCATCAGTACCACCTAGAACATGCATGGGTTGGATCTCAGCTGTTTTACTCCAGACTTAGTGGTATTCTGTCCCCTTGTGGGAAATTTGAGCATTACACACCTTTCCTCACAGAGGAAAGTGCTTTGCAGATGTAAGTAAAAGATCATTGTTCAATTTCCAGGAGGCAGACATGTAAATTTGTTACTGTTTTTAGGTGCCCTAGAATCGAGTATGACTTGCATCAACCTTCTAAACAGCCAATGTGAACTCCATCCTATCCTGTGCCATCCTCTTCAGCTCAGACATACCTGGGCCCACTGCTGCAGTCGCTTCATCAGCTCATCTTGTTGAGGGTCTTCTGGGTCTGTTAGACCTAGAAAGAGACAGAATTAAAGCAGTCTCTTCCCCAAACGCTGTGCATTTATGAGGAGAAGCACTTTGGTATATAAGGCTGCATAGAATAGCACAGTAGGTTTATTAGCCCAAAATTTCATAATTAGCTTATTATAGATACAAGAGGGCTCTGGTGGCCTAGTGGGAAGGAAGTGCGCTGCATTTCCAAAGGCATGCAGTTTGAGATCACCAGCTGCTCCACAGGAGAAGGATGGGCAGTCTCCTCCCGTGCGATTAACTGCCTCTGAAAACCCACTGGAGGGTCAGCTATGGGTCAGTTCTGAATCTGGTACACAACACATTATATATATACATATATATATGTATGATTGTATTTTGAGTTGTTGTTGTTGTTATGTGCCATCGAGTCGTTTCCGACTCATAGCGACTCATAGTGTATTTTGAGTACACTATGAAAACTAACTTCCAAGAGGAAGCATTTGGCTATAACGTGAAGAATGATATGATCAGTAACCTGTGCCTTTACCTCCCACCATCAGTTCTGCTTTTAATCTATAGTATTTCTCAATATAGGTTTATTTCTATCATCACTTAACTTCTTACAGAAGTTGCAAAATCCATTCCCACTTTAAATGCTCCACATTTGCATGACTGTAGTCAATAATTTGTAAAGCTCTCTCTCCAGTAATAGGTAAATGAGAAAAACCCACTTGGGATCTGAGAACTACACAGTGAAACAAGCAGACTTCAGCAGATCCAGAGGCTGTTTTCCCTCACACAGAGCCTGAGGGAACTGGTACTTCATGCCCCTCATTTCAGATGTTCAACTTTTCTTCTTGGTCTCCAAGAGTGCTCATCCCTGAGTTTGAAAAGAGTACTTTTTAAAGTAATCTTAGTGTCAGCACTGGAAGAGGCATTAAGAGTTCCCGTGCCCACAGATGTGTCTTTTGGAGACACACAGTCTCATGATCCCCTCATCCCAGACCTTCCCGAGACCCCTCAGCTTGCATTCCCTCTGAGAAGTCAGGGCAGGTCTGCAGTTCAGCAAGCCAGCGAGAAGAGGTGCGAGCACCATCATTCAGAGAGGTGATAAGCCAGCCACACACACTGCCCGCAGGGAACAGTTCTCCCCACCCTGCAGATAAGGGTTGGATCTAGGCTGACCACATTCATTACCTGGCTTTAAGACAGTGTTCACATGAGGAGGGACTCTGGGGTTGTAGTAAACAGCATTGGAAAATTGGCCTGGGTTGTGGGTTTTAGTACTAAGGTTGAGGGACAAGGGGAAAATACATACCAGCTCACCTAGGGGACCCTGAACACTACACCTGGCAGGTCAGAAGCTAAAGAAACTGTAAGAAAACATTCCCAGAGATCTCGGAGCAGGCCAAGTCCCAGTGGCCACAGTTTCCGCTAATCCACTTAGGACATATTTTAGATTGTCCACATCTGACCAGTAAAGCCACTTAGATGACGAGACATGTCGGAGCCTCATTCTGTTCCTCACTGTCAGGCTACTGAAGAGAAAACAGTGAACGGTAACCTTTAGTATGTCTTGAGAGATGTGAACAGACCGAAGATCATAATATTGACAATATTAAAAGCTCATCCACTGGATGAGCTTCGGTGTATTTTGGGATATTAATGATAATTGTTTTGATAATTTTCACATTCTGTTGTATCACCTTTCTTGGGAATGGGAACAAGTATGGATCCCTTCCAGTCCAGTCCAGGCAGCTCTCCTCCAAATTTCCTAGCATAAGCTAGTGAGCACATCCAGGGCTGCATCTGTTGAAACATGTCAATGGGTAGCCCATGTATTCCTGGAGCCTTATTTTTTACCAGTGTCTTCAACATAGCTTGGACTTCTTCCTTACCATTGACTCTTGTTCTTCTGATACTTCGTAACATTTTTCAGAGTCCACAAATCTATATATTCCTTTCATCTTTTGATGTTTCCTGAATCATTTTAAGATTTTGTCCACGGCTTCTCTCAGTATTCCAACTTCCCTACTCTGACTCTAGCTCTTTCATTGTAATCCTTTGCTTTTCCTTTTCGAACTTCCCTTTGAAATCTTCTGTTCAGATCTTTTACTTTGGTTTCTCTCCTTTTGTTTTTACTTTTTTTTCCCCCTTTTATTGGGAAAAACATATTGGGGGTACAAGGAGGTTAGGGTTGGGCACAGAATGGTGAGGATGGGCAGGGATGTGGTTGCAGAGCTGCACAGTTTGATCGGTGGGGGGAGCAGGTGAAGGAAATGATGAGGATCCAGTGGGGACCAGATACTACAGAGGAATGACCAGCATTTTCCAATGGTAATTAAACCAACTGTCTTATTGATTTGGGAATTGGATGCTGACTCTCTGGCTTCTTCATGCTGAACAGGGGCGTAGATGTAAAGGGGGGAAGGGAGGACTCTTTATCACTTTACTGGTGGTCTTGGGTTAAAGCTGCTTGCCTTCTTGCTCTGTTAGAAGATATTTTCCTTTCATTTGCTCCCCTCTGGACTGCAAAGAGTTTTC